CATAAAGACTAGAAGCAGGGGAAACAGACTAGACTGGTGAAAACATATGTCTATCAACACCTCTAAAGCTCACTAATTATTACGTAATCTTGCTTTATTGGCTTTCTAGTACTTTCAAATAAATGTAAAAATGAGTACGTGGAAGTTAAATGCTTACATGATTCCATCTTGATTGTTTGTGCTAATTACAAACAGACCAAAGGGTGAATAAAGTGTGTGTGTATGTGTATGTGTTGCAGGAGAGCCAGTGGCTGGATAGTGTGTCTCTGTTGATTAAGGACTCGTTGGAAGGAGACATGATTGACAACCTCTCCGGTTCAGTTTTCCACCACTACTGCTCGCCTCCTGTCTGCAAGGACTGCAAGGGCCACCCACAAGAGGTTAGTGGGACCATACACACAAACACACACACACACTCTTTCTGTGTTTTTCATTCTAGCTTGAAAGTTCCTGTCGTTTAGCCATCTTAATAAAGCTTTTTCTACACATGAGCGCTGCACTTTTATTTCCCTTTTTTTAAATATTACTTGCACATACATCATACATAGCAGATTTTTACTAAATAGTGCTGTTTGCAAATTGTGTTATTAACTGTCTGGATTTACATCTCTCTATTGCACTTTCTTCTTTTCTCCTTTTACCTACATGTATGTGTTTTTTCACCTTGTAGCTCACAGTACTCAAATAACAGAGGGTTCAGTCATACAAAACTGCATCATTAGGCCGAGTGTAATTATTTCTGTGTAAGCTGATACACACATAGACAAAGACACTACAACATTAAAATCTGCAATTTCTGGTCTGTTGCTTTCATTTAAACCCACATACAAACAGGCTCATACAACAAACATGTCACATTGCACACACATTTGTAAATGATGGTAGAGTTACGCATTTAGCCTTACTTGTACAACCCTGTGTGACATGATAATAAACAAACCTTGATTTTTGCCCTGAAAGCACATTTTTGCCAAATGGACTGTAAAAGGAGCATAATGGGCCCCAAATATCTCCACTGTATACCTTGGTCAAAACTAAATCTACAGTTTTTTTTTTCATAAAAGATATTTAAGCACAATAATTGAGGCATTAGGGTGGTGCAGGGGAACACTTGCCCAGAAAAGCTTCCACTAGTGGGAAGCCATTGAGACATCATATCCTTGTTGCAGCATGAGGGAGTTCTGAGTGATCTGTCGACAGTGTGTCCTCAGGACATGAGCAGAAGTTAGCAATAATACGAGCAGCAGTGCAGGGAAAACTTGAAAAATTGGGAGTAAAAGTATATAAAGAAAGATTTCCTAGATATTGACAATATTGAATAAAAGTGAAATACATGCAATAGTTTAAAAGTACATTAAGGATACATTATTGTATTTTTGAGGTACTAAAACAAAGGGTACTTTAATGTCCTTGTATATAAGTTACTGCCCCAGTGACAAGCTTTTGTATTCCAGAATAAACACCAATGCTCTACCATTGTGTGCAGTTCAGAATCAAAGCTGTTAGATTAATCCAGTGTGTTTGTGTGTGAAATAGAGAGTGAAAGAAATATGTGTGTGTGTCTGTCCCATAAATGTATGTGGCTGTACAGTACCCTATCACATTAGCCATGGTGTGTGTGTGTGAGTGAGTAGATGGAAGGAAAATGCTCACATGATTAAATCTCATGAATATGTGAAGCTCTACCAAACCACAAAGCAACAGTGTGTATCAGAGGGAGAGACTCTGTGTGTGTGTGTGTGTGTGTGTGTGTGCGTGTGCGTCAATCCCACAAATTCATACATCTGTAGCCCCCAGTCAATATATGATCAAACATCTCAGTGAATCCACATCATCATCCATTTCCCCAGGTTGTTCATTTGTGGTTCAGTTCACTTGAAAATAATATCTATTTATATGTTTGTTTATCTATCCCTAGACAGTACGCCAGTGTACTCAAAAGACACAACACATGCATATCAAGAGCTGTAAATAATCCTTCACATTTTCCAAAGCTGTGGGATTTACCAGTTATATACTGACAAATTCATTGTTTTAGAATCAGAATGCCAACATAACAGCTAAAAATGTTGTGCTACTGTGTTTTCTGAGCAAGGTGATACTCCTGCTGTGTTAATTTCAGCTCCATAATCATGAAATTCCAAATAAAGAATTCAAATACATTATTATACTATAAGGTGTCACCATTTCAAAATGAAGTTTGCAGCAAAAATATAAATCAATCCATAATGCCCAAGATTGAGATAAACCCCCGCTCAGATTAATATGAAAAATCCTTTAAAACCAATTTTCCCAGTAAAACCCCAGCAAGGTGAGAGGAAGGTCAGTTTGATATCCTTGTAATTGATATGCAGATTAGAGATACATTGCAATCAAGACATTGTAAAGTACTGTAATAGTATTTTCATAGCTGTGCCATAGCTGCGCTTATTGAGTAAATTGGAAAAAAAAAATATTTCTGTGTGTGATGTGTTTGCGTTCAATGACACTGTGCAATATGTGTGCTACCTTCATCCACATATGTTGCAATCATGATCATATTGAGGAAAGATGCGGACAAACTAGCAGGCAAAATCAAATTTTTATCCTTCAAAGTTATCAGAAGAAGTAAAGCCTCATGATATGTCCATGTCAAATAGTATTTTTATAATCTGATCATCCTATTTTGCACAATTTAATTTCTTTCAAAATCAGATACAGTTATTACCCAGATTTTAGTTTTTATAAAGACAGAAAAAGCTATCTCGGAGGGCTTAGCTGTCAAAATCCGCTCCATATTAATTTCTGTCACTGGTGAGAGTGTTCAGACATTTGTTTCTTCTTTGTACAATCATGCAGTGTTTCTCTCAAAGGTCCAATCATAAATTTCACCACCAAACGATTTAAACTCTAAACCTGGTTGATCATATGCGTTCAGCCATGACGCACACAGACATGTGAAAACATCAGTCACACATAAGAACTAAAACCAATTCCAGCCCAGAGCAGAGGTGATTCCATGATTCCAACCTGATACATGTGCAGATTGCATATTTAAATCTGTAGCTGTGTGTGTGGGTGAGTGAATGGGTCATTGTATGACTCAAAGCAGCTTATTGTCGATGTGATTTAGATATTAGGATGCGTGTGATCTACCTGGGTAGCACTTTTTCTTCTGGCATTAAATTACCATCTACGTACATATAATCACTACTTCACCCAGGACCTCTATAGCGAGATATTTACAGTTCTCTCTGTTTCTTTATTCAATTTCCTTCAACCCTCAGGATCAAAGCTGTACTTCAAATTTATTTGATCTTTGGTGAAAATGTTGCATTTTCAATAATTCACTGTTTTTTTCGTAATCAGTGTTGGTTGATATTGATGGAGTATCTTCCACGATTTTACAGATGTATGTACAAATACATGTATATTATCTGATCAGGCAATACAGTATCAATACACCATATAGTCTAAGATGGACAGTTTAAAAGGTCACACCTTTTTCATACCAACAATCATTTAAATTTGGGTGGTTTATGTGTCATTTCAATAGCCAATATATTCTTTTTTTACACAAGCCATTTTTGTCCCATTTATGTCTGTTGATGTTGCTGTATTCATTCAACATACATACAATATATCATGATTTTAGTCTAGGTTAATGTACCCTTTATTTTAAAAAGTAAAAAATAAATGACTAAAATGAAGTATGCTTTTCTTCTTGAGACATAGTTAAAGTTGTGCATTGCTGTTTCTCTGTTTGTTAGTCAAATTACTTATTCAAGTCTTTCTTCCCTCTCTTTTACTAAATCTAATAGTGTGCAACTCATCTCAAAAATACGCTTCTCCTCTTTTGATTGAGTAGTGAGTCTACTCTAGGACTACCACTACCTATGAATTATTCCCTAGATGCAACTTAACTGTATGTCCTGTGTGTGTGTTTGACAGATCCAACTGGCAGAAGTGGAGCAGGCATCTCTGATGTCAGAGCAGCTGTCAGACAAGTCATCGTCTCTGGCGCTGCCTGATGACCTCAGCCTGGACGAACACAGCAGCTACCAGTTGATGGTAAGAGACAGCCAGGTACTCACACACACACAGAGGAACGCATAGAAACACACATACATACATTGGATTTCATATGGATTTTACTGTTACATACACTATGGCACGCACCAACACATCATACACACGTATGTTTAATTCAGGAATTGTGAAAGCATCAAGCTGCAAACTGCAATAAAAAACGTTTAAGTTTAGGTTTACACATGTGAAGAATGTTGTCTTCAAACAGTAAAACACAGTTTAATGCATTAAATATACTTTGAGTGAATATATCATATGGCTAAAAGTATACAGGTATGCCTGTCTTGTGGACTTTTCTAATCTTAAAACACCATACAATGATATTTAACTCAATTTTGTGTTCCGGCTTTGTGGCAACAGTTTGGGGAAGGCATTCTCTTTTTTCAGCATAATAATACCCCCGTGCACAAAGCCAGGTCCACGAAGATCTGGTTTTCCCAGTTTGGTATGGGAGAACTCGACTGCACAGGGCGATGACCTCAACCGTATCCAACACCTTTGGGATTTACTGGAACACCGACTGTGAGCCAGACCTTATCTCCCAACTGCGTTGGACCCCTCTAATGCTCCTCTGGCTGAATGGGAGCAAATCCCTGCAGCCAGCTTCAGAAACCTTGTGGAAAGCCTGAAATCAGAAGAGTGAAGGCTGTTATATGGTAGTGGCATATTAATGCCTTTATACTCCTTGCTGTATAGTGTACGTACAGGGAAGCAAACTGTGTGGGCCTGCATACTGTACTGAAAACCATATCCGCCAATGAATATTTCAGTTTCATTTAAACCAGCCAGGCATTAAAGGCGATTTTGTAAGATTAAACCCAGATATTTGTAATAAAAATTAACATTATCTGTAATAATCACTCACACACACTCAAGGGTACATTGGGGGTTTGGGGAATCACACCTCATGTCATTATACCCCTTCCATCTTGCTAATCATCATTAATTACTATTTACATGCTTTAGTGCCTGATTAAAACACCTGCCTCCCTCTGAGCTCTTGATATGGGCATGCTGGGATGTGTGTGTGTGTGTGTGTGTGTGTGTGTGTGTGTGAGCACATCTTTCATATCTCCATCTTCCCATGAACACTTCTCTCTCAGCTCACAGCGGTTCCACCTGGCCTGTTTCATCACTGCGTTATTGAAGGCCAGTTCATTTGATCCAGTTTACAACCAACAACAACAGCTGAGCAGTTTGAAGCTTTGAAGCCTGCTGTTACTTTCTTTTTACCACATCCAGTTTTAATCAGACTTGTATAGATGGATAAAGGAAGGGACATGAAAAGGGGGCTTTTTGAAATTGGAAACAAATTGTAGTCAGATTTCCATTATGACAAGGGGAAATGAAAGGCTTCAGTTTGATATCGTTCCTGCTCCAGTGAACATTAGTGCACCTGGATATCATGCTTATTCTCTCTGCATCTCTTTGTCTCTCTTTCACTCTTCTCTCTTATCCTCAATTTCTCTCTTCCTTTTCTTATCATGCATCCAGAGGGGCAGCAGTGACTCCCGTAGTTCGGAGGAGTTGCCCACCCAGGGGGGCTACAGAGGGCTTCGTCCCTCCAGCTCAGGAAGCGAGGAGGGGGTCCAAGAGTTGTTTGAGGTGGGCGTCTGTCCTCAGTTGAATACTCCCTCACTGGAGCAGTCAAGCCCGGCACATTGCACAGGTACCAGAGTACACATGATAACAATACAGCATCTAAGATACTGTATTTAGTTTGTAGTGTCATCCAGAGTGAATAAATCTGTGAGGTACTTGGGGGCCTGAAATCTTCTCAAAAGGTTCTCACACCTAAATAAATACATAGATTTTCATTGTGTTCCAAAATCCCTTTGTTCATTCACCCCAAAGTCCTCATAACAGTTTTTGTGGCAGTGTAAGAACATTACTATACTCCATACTATGCAACATAAACATCATTTTATTGAAGTCGTTCAATAGCACTAGATGCCTGTAAAGTTTGTTTCTGATGTATATGTGTGTGTTATACTGTATAATGATATCAGAATTTTACTTTTACTTTCACTACAGTTTGGGGCTTTTAATTTTTCCAGTTGCATTCATGAATGAACACAGATTAGCTCAGGAAACACTATTGGGAAAAAAATTATTGGAATCAGTCTCTCACTGCTTTTTGACCATTAGCTGGCGAGCCAAACATGTTTGGTTTGATGTATTAACAACATTCTAATATATTTGTGAAAAAAAACAACACAGTCCACTAGCTTTAATCAAACCAAAGACAGGCATTCAATGTTCAATACTGAAGTATATTTAAAAATAAAAACTAAGAATCACATTTACTTTATTGACCAAATGTTTACACATACAAGGAATTGTTGCTAAGTCATACACTATAAACCTAAACCCTTGATTAAATTCCAAAAGCAGACAAATTAAAATGTATAAAAGACACCAAAAAAGTTAATCAAATCATAAATGAAAATAAATTATCATTTGAGTTCTAGATATCAAGCCAAACATGTTAAAGGTGTCTGACCATTAATAGTGCCATGGAGCAATGTTTTTGTGGGTGGAGTTTGAATCTCACAAGGACACACATACATGTACATAAGTGCAAAACCTGCTTTTTGTAGATAGTTTTTATTCCAACAGCAGCGAAATGGTTCAATTGAATCTTTCATATCATCCAATCATATTAAAATAATCCCTCTCAGGGTAACCTTTCATCAGCGTTCCTTATTATCCTTATCAGTGTTCTTTGTGACCCTCACTGGTATTTTACCACCACGATTTCATTAAGCCATGACTTTGACGTGACATTGATAGTATCGTTTAAATAAGAGAAGGCTTTTTCTGAATGTCTCCAGAGCCAACACAGACACACAAGGACGCATCTCATATTCCACACAGTTGATTGACTTCCACTGCAATTAAAGCAGTGATAGATGAGGCCAACAGTGATACAGACACAGAGATGTTGATGAATGGCATGTTATGGTATGCTGATGGCTTACCGCCCCCCTCAACATGACCATTATCACTGGAACAGATGGAGCGATACAAGGCAAAGTCAATTCAATTCAGGGAGATTGTTCAACGACACACAACTCCTCCATGACTTCAGTTACATCTTGTCTACACCAGTCTGCCATGCTGTTTACATGGTATGGTTATTTCAGAGATCATTATAAAAGAATAAACTATTATTTGATTATTTGATTTCCTAAATGCCATCAGTTTAGGGGATGAAATGTTTGCTCTGAGGCTCACTTTTATGTCTCTAAAATCTGCAAAATGTAGGTTGTTTCTCCCATGAGTTATACAAGTAGTGAATTTCTTTTGATGTTCTAATCAATCATTTGGTTAGTTTTTCAAGCACTAGTCTTATTTTTGTAAGATAACATATCTCAATTTGTTAAGTTTTAGTCTTAAAATTGTCTTATTATACATGAGAAATAATGAGAGCCACTATTTCACTATTACAAAATAAAAATTTTTGGAGAGCAATCTCCTTTTTTGTCCGGTCTCTGTATAAATAAAGCAGTTTCATCGAGCTCTGGGTGCACACAGATGGCGGTGGCACCTCTGTGGCTCACAGAAGAGAGGTTGAGAAGAGAGAGTAAAGATAAATTCACTGTTTATCCCAAAACTTTAAAAAATAAACCCAGAGCCCTCTTGCCAGTTAACGGCTCCAGATCAGAGCAGAATCCAGTGTGACTACAGGTGTTTATTCCTCCAGAAGCTCCAGCTCTGCCCCTGGCTCTCTTCTGCAGAGCTCCAAGGGCTCAACAACTGTCTGTGGGCCAGCATCAGCTCTGTCCCTCCGCTCCTTCCCATACAACACTGCAAAACCCCTACGATATGCGCATGTCCGTGTCATCCGCATCGCCATTGTGAATTTGCGTCTCTGTATTGACTTTGAATCTAATAATTGTATTTGCCTTTGAAAAAAAAAACAGAAATTTAAAAATTTGCACTGACACAGCTGTATTAAACTACAACCTTCTGTTTTCAGATGGAGATGGAGGAAGTTGCAGTGGAGGTGGTGGTGGGTCTTCACCCGTCTTCCACCTACCAGCAGACTTCTTCCACCCAGCTGCCGCGGCTCATCCGGGCAGTCCAGGGAACAGCGTTAGCCCAGGAGACAGAGGGCCGTCCAGGTTGGCTTCCCCAGCCTCTTGGGCCTCCCTCCGCTCACCCGGAGCGAACAGCAGGCCCCTGAGCTCTCAGGTATTATGGACAGATGAATGGACTCGTGTCTGGATAGATAAATAGATAGATGGATGGATGAATAAGGACTTGACATCAGTATTTCTGTGCAACATGTCAGGGACCTGATGGAACAGTGTAAATAGATCACTCCTCAGAGAACGTTTAGTGAACCGAAGTTGCCATGCATCAGAAACATTTCAGTCAGTCAGATGGGATTTGCCAAATGAAATATAAGAGTTTGTGAGCCCAAATATGTTGATCTGATCCCTAAATATATGGGTACACACAGATATGATTGACAAAAAATATTGATTTGAATTTATTTAGTACATTCTATTTGCAGTAATTGAGCTGCAACATCCTTTTGGCAGCAGTTTGATTAGAAATCAACACTTGACTGAGGAGTGAACAGCAGCTTGTGTGGTTTATCATTCAGAAACTAAAGACTTCAGAATTCCTTCAGTAGCTAATCAGAATTGAGTATACACAAATCATTGTATTACCAAATTGTGAACATATGCATGACACATACCACTCTCCACTACTGTCCTTCTGTAGTGTGAAACTCCGGTGAAATTATTAGGTTATAATTAAAGCTAGAATCTCATTTATATTAAATCTAACACCTTCCCTCTGTTGGCTCCTGCATGAAACAAACAAGAATGAAAAGGCCCCTTATTTTAGCTCTTGTTCCTGTGTAACCATGGAGACAGATTTTTCTTTCTCCTCTACCTGTTTGGTTTGTTTAGCTCGTGCCTGAGTGCCTCTGTGATCCTCAGCTGCTACAGTAATGCTCTGCGGCACTCAACTAATTAGCCTGGCCAGCCCTGAGCCTGATACCGACTCTGTGCACACTGTTGTTCTTGGCTCACATTGTTCGCATTCTCTCCTGTCCCTTTTCTTGTATTTCCTTCATCTTTTAATGTCTTTCTCTGGTGTTCTTTCTCTCTGTTCTCTCTTTTTCAATCCCTTCATTTATCCTTTCTTATAATCTCTTACTCTCCCCTGTGGTCTTGTATGCTATGACTATCGCAGTAACAGTGGCAGGATTAGGAATAATGTTACAATGATATTGCACCATTGCCTTAAACCTAGTTTTAAATGTAACAGGTTAGGTTTAGGCCTTTCTTTTATCTCTAGACTAAAATTCAAATCTGGCCTTTCGCTCCACGGTTTCAAATTCCAATTTATTCTGTTTAACTTTAAACAATATCTGTATTGACAGGCTGCATGGATAGAGCCAAAGAAGCACAGTCCGTGGAAAACATAAGAGGATGACTCAAGCCAGTCCTGTTTTGTTAATTTTGTATTTGAAAGCACTAGAGGTTTGGAAAATAATTTGAACTGAAATACAAACAAAATTAGAAAGGTTTGACCAGCTAGAAAACATGGGCACTATCAGAATGCTATTTTGTTTCTTTATTTTTTTCCTCTAGCACAGGTGCGGCCTATAAACTTGGAACAAAATGGTCATTTGAACACTTTTACCATGCCAGTGTAACAAACATTGTAGTGCAGTGACAGGCCACTGGTTCACCCACACGAGTATATGGGTTCTTTGTTTTTTTCTTTGCCTGATTCCACCTCGTCTCTTGTCTTCTTTGGCTGCGTTTCATTAGTCGTTCAACATGCCCTCGTTCACTTGCCCTCGGCACTTGCCCTCGGGGGA